TAAACTGTTCTATAACAATTCTATATATATGTAAATAAAAATAATTATTATATAAAAAAGCTTTAATAGTAAACTAAATTTAGCAAGGCCAGGTAGCTTACTCTAGTAAAGTTTTGGGTTAAGGATAAACTAGTTAGGTCTTTATAATAATTCATATAATTCATTTAAATAATATAAACCATGATCTGAAAAAAGGGACGAAATTGACAAAAAAAAGATCTTTGAAAAATCAATTTTTATATTGTAAATCTTATAATAAATTATAAGAAAATGCAAACTTTAAAGAGCTATATTGCAAAATTTTATTAATACAACTGCTTTTGTGTCTTAAGTGAAAAATGATTCTAACCTCATTTTTTTTAAAAAAAAGCTTTAATTATTTTTAATTACCTTTTTATTCTTGCTTCTTTTTATTAATTTTACTATCTTTCACTAGTTTTGCTACTTTTTTCTAGTTTCACCTCTATTTCACTAATTTTTAATTTTTTTTTAATGAAAGTCAAAACCAGGTTTCGCCATTCGTCTGTGGAGAAACCTCTTAGACATAATTACTCTTTTATTGTATAAAATTCTCAGGTTGAGAACTGTTTTATTTACAGAAATGATAGCAAGGCTATTCATACATTTCAAGCATCATTCTTTAACTATAATCCCTACTAGCACTACTATATATAATATTTTAATAAAACTAACATTTTCACTAGAATTAGTATTTTTATGATATTTAGCATTTCAGATTGAACTAATATACGTATTTGCAAGAACTAATAGATTCTGTTAATATGTCACATGATAGTATATTACGAGGGTTAACAATACTTACATGTACCTCCGGTCTTAGAGAGGTTTATTGTATTTTGTACGTAATAATTGAAATTGGTTGATACTAAAACATCCGAAAACCACTAAAGTTTTTTTTAGTGACCTTATGTATAGATGATAACGATAAATAATAATTTCTATATAAGGTCACTAAAAAAAAGACCTTTCTAACTCACAGTATAATCTTTTATTAACAACTCTAACCCTAAACCCTAACCTAATTATGAAAAAAAAGACTACAAAAAAGACCCCAAAATTTTGAAATTACATAATTGATTATGATTGGCTAATTTTGTTAAGAAATTTTTATTTGTTAATAATAATAAATTATATTAAACAATTTTTTTATATATTAAGCGCCAAATTTCTAAACACATACTATATGAACTTAAATTAATAAAATAACTTTAAATATCAAAGAAAAAAAATTTATTCTAACAGAATTGTAACTTAAATAAATTGCAACAAATTTGTTAAAAAATTTTAATTAAATCGTAAGTTTCTAAATTATAATACTTTAATACTTTTAATAAATTATACGTACGTACGTACGTACGTACACGTATACGTAAAATATTGGATGCCTTTTGTTCTGCACTGTAATACGTAGAATAAGTCCAAATTATTAGCATCAGCATTAGCTGTCACAAGATAAAGCATCAATTTGATTTGATGGATTTGATTTGATTTAGAAGATTGCATAGGAAGACTTTCGTATGATTGGCTGTCTAAATCAATTTAATTTTACATTATTTATACAGTTTAAAGTATATTACTTTTTAAAAAAAAATAAAACTACGAAGAATAAACAAAAAATAAGTATATATAAAGTTTTATTAGGGTTGTAGAACTCCAGTATTAAAAATAATCAAAATCATTTCTGGTTTTAGAGAAGTTAGCATAATAGCGACTTCTTAAAAGCTAGATAGAATTAGTTTATTACCATGCTAACTTCTCTAAAACCAGAAATGATTTTGATTATTTTTAATATTGGAGTTCAACAGCCCTAATAAAACCTTCTATATACTTCTTTTTTGGTTTTATTTTTTTAATAAAGTACTTTAAACTGTATAAATAACGATAATGTAAAATTAAATTGATTTAAACAGCCAATCATATGAATGTCTTCCTATGGAGAGAATTGCGATTGTAATTCAGGATCCGATCTTATATCATCCGGTTCACAAAGTTATGGGGTCACGGTTCACAGAGCCGTAATTGGTAGATTTACATTAAGCTAGCTAGCCAAATATCGATAAATCAAGTTGGTAAGCAGGTTTTAAATCTTAATTTGGAAAACCAATCATTTGATCAACAAAAGGAAACATGATGCATGGTATATAAATTAAAACAAAAAAAAAAAATTATACTGCATGTACGTAAATTCTCTCTTTACTTGAGAGTTATTTTTGCGTACAAAATTTTTGTGCCAACTGCTTGTTAAATCTAAATCAAATATCAATAAAATGAACAATACTATTAAACCAGTTGATTTAATGATAGATGGTGATATGATTTATTGTCGTCCTCATCATCTCGAAACTTGTTCCAAATGTAACTTAGACTTCAATTCTTTAAATGCTTTACACAAAAGTCTCTTACAAATAAATGGAGATATTCCTCCACCAAATGCAATAAACCAGAAGTTAGCAAATCAAATTAATAGCCTAAGAGAAGAAGGAAATAAATATTACAAAGCGCAAAATTATCCAGAAGCAATTAAATTATACTCGCTAGCAATTGAAATGGCATTTCAACGACCAGTTTGGGAACCTTGTGAATTAACGAGACGAGATGTTTCGACGTGCTTAATTAACAGAGCGGCAGCACATATGGCAATCAATTCATGGCTCAATGCTTATATAGATGCCGAGTGGGGGATTAGAATCAAACCCGACTATGTCAAGGGATATTTTAGAAAAGGAAAAGCTTTGATGGAAATGAAAAGATATGATGAAGCGGTACAAGCATTCGAAATTGGTTTAGGATTTGAACCTTCTGATAAAAGTTTAAAGGATGCACTTGATGAAGCTAGAAAATTGAAGAAGAAATCGGAAGATCGTGATAACTTTTTATAATGTTAGAAATGCAATTTTTGAGGATGAAATTCTTTAACGTCATAGTTATTTTATTATTTATCTTTTTTTTTTGGAAAACCGGATATCATTTTTTAATTCACATTAGTAGTAGAAAATAATTTTAGAGAGAGTTTTAGAGAAACTAAGATATAGAAAACATTACTATAAACTAATAAAAAACATTTGAATAACAAAAATTGCAATTAAATAAAATTCTCAATTGCTTTATTATTAAATAATTTCGATCAAAAAACCTTGACATGAGAACAGGTATCCATACTGATCGAATTATTACGACTCTGGATTTCTATTAACTCTAGCTTATGTTTATTGATAGCAGAAAATTATATAATAAAACTTATTACATAATATATACTGTAGTTGACTGAAAAATAATAAATGATAGTATCTGATCAATGAGAATGAAAGAATTTATAATCTTCTCCAAAGTCACTTTTACGTTTTGCTACATTTGTTAATCTCCAGGCCACTCCAATTGAATATAAGGGATTGAAGCTTGAAGGGAGGGTTGATCCATGAATGCATTAGGGAAAGGATTTTCAATATTGCGTCGCACGGTATAAAGCTGATAAAGCGAAAAAAATGGCATGTCGTTTCATCTCTACGCTCATTCTGAAGGCCATTTGTCGCGAAACTATCCATAATATTGTAATACGTGGGCCAACCATGTTGATGGATCCAATTCTGATTCGGAACAATTATAAGAACCGGATCAAGAATTTTTATATTTGCAAGTTGTCTCTCATACTTCGAAATTTGTTCATCAGAAGCTTTCGAAAAAATAGGATTAAGTGCCTCACAAGTAGATGTACAGTCAGAGTATTCGGACATTCTATGAAATATACATGGAAATGAGTATTCTCCTGTTAACTAAATCGATATACTTACCTTTCCGCAATTGTGATACAAAATATAATAGCTACAAACGAGGCAAGAAATGAGTGGGAATAGACAACAAAGAATTTGGCAAAATTTACAAAGATGCACTATACAGACCAGCCAACCAAAAAATGCACACACTGGAAGTATTGTGAAATAAATGACCAAGCTAGAGATCCAAAAAATGACTGCATATCGACGTAAAAAAACTACAATATTTGAGGTTCAAGAAGTGATCATATGGTATCAGGTAGGGTTGTGTTCAACCGTATTAAATTTTTGGATACTCCTGCGTAATAAAAGCCCAGATATTAAATTTGGATTTGTATCACTTCTGACAGCTTATTTCACCGAAGCTCATTTCACAGACAAGTTTTTTTTTATAAATTACACTAATATTAACTCTAATTCTAACCTGATCCTAATGACAATGACCAGAATTATTTTGTCGGTGAAATAAACTATCGGTAAATAAAATATGTCAGTGAATTGTTTTCGGTAAATTATTATGTCTACGAGATGAGTGTCGGCGAAGTGAGCAGAACCGATTAAATTTGTATGGCTTGATTTAATTTCACCAGCATCTTTAATCAAACCTCAAATATACTTCAAACTTTTATATTAATACTAAAATTTACCAAATGTGCGTGGTGTTAAACACCAGTATAATTTGGTATAAAATTTTTATTATTTCAATAAATAATTATGCACAAAAATGAAATAACCAAATAAATACTAATGATCAATTTAACAAAACTATAAATAATATACAAATAATTTCTTTCAACATTCCAAACTAATTCAATACAGTATTAGCATGAAAGTTTTCTTATAAGCAGTCAAAAAAAAAAAGACCAAATAATTGATGCGTAATCTCTTTAGCACGTTCCAAATTTGATCAATTTGACAATCATAGTCCGTGACAAAGCATAAGCACACACTTTATTAAACCGGCAAATAACAAATCGAAATGAGGAATGTCTTAGCGCTATACACGTTAAAAAAAAAAAAGAAAAAAAAAAAAAAAACAAACAAAACCGAAATTTTATTGTTACTCACCTACTTCAGTATGTCACAGTCAAAGAGCCGTTACTTCAAATATTTCATACTCTTTTACTAAGAACGATTCTTCAAGTGTTACCTGAAATTCATACGAAGACTTCTTGCAATTACATTCACCTGCCTCCCTAAAATGCCTTCTCAGCCATAAATCACCATCTCCGAAACATGGTCCCCATCCGTTATGATTGTACACAGCATAGTTGGGTTGTATAACTCTACTGATCATTGATCTCTTAAGATCCGCTCTATTAATTCTGAATAAAAAACTATCTCGATCGTAATCATATCCAAACATTTTCCAATAATTGCTATTAATTCTTTGATATCCACCAATCATTTCTTCGCTTTCCGTAAGGATTAAAACTAGCAACGCAGGATATTCGAATCTAATTCGATCAAAAACTTCACCACAAAACCCATGATCACTACCACGAATTAAAAGCCGAAAATTGAAAGGATTCTTTTCACGAGTGACTAATTTGCCCTCTTTACGGTTGATCCAATGAGCAAACAATGCTGCGTGTTTGTAATTAATCAAACAGGAATCAATGATAAATGGTAAACGAGGATGAAAAGATATATCTAGCTTCCTTCCAGTAAAATAATATTCCTCAATCCTTTCTTGAATTTCTGGTAAGAATATCTTTTTGAATGGTCTAACATTATGATAATATTCTTCCATATCAATATTGTTCATTCTAATACGTGGAAGACAGTTACGCATCTTTTCTTCCAATAGCGAAAAATCGGTTGGAGACCATCTTGAAACATCTGGATCTAATCCAACACTAAGCTGTCCTTTAGCCCACTTAATAACATTATTCCAAATATATACTTCGGGCAAATTCAAGTCTTCACGTTCCAAGACAGTGACCAATATATCTTCTTCGACATTATAAAATTGATCTGAAGCGAATAACAACCATGGATCGTCACAGATTTTTTCAAAGCAATGTTGTTTGATTTTGTTGCAAGTAGGAATTAACCAAGTACATCGGAGAATGGAAATTAAATTTTCAGTGAACCATTCTGAATGTTTTTGAATAAGATGCTCTGTCCAATGTCCACAAAACATAAATATTAAAAGCCAGATTTTCAAAAAAAAATTCTATATATATATATCGCTAGAATCGAATTATGAATTGAAAAAATGAACCTTGTATATTATCTGCGAGCTCCATACGAAGGAATTCAATTTTGTAGATAAATACATCGTATTGAATAATGGGCATAAGTTTCCACATATTGTAGTTGTTGGGACAAGAAATTAACAATACTTACTTCATGTAGCATTAACTCGTCACAAGCTATCAGGAGGTCATAAATGTCTGGAACACAATCTTGCTCAGTGAAATCGAGTTCACCAGAATATATATATCTATGTAATTAAAAGTAAATTAATATATAGCCCATATTATAACACAATTTAGGCATAAAAATACCCGAGAATAGCCTCAAAAACCAGTGGGTGAATATTAGGTTTCACAAACACCTTTACACCATCTTCCGAAGTAGCCCAAGTACTTGATAATGCTATTTTGAAATACTCGCAACGTGTACGTAAAATGACCGTATGCCCTAAAAATTCTTTAGAAGAACCTTCTTCACCAACTATTATTTTTACGTCATAATCACCAACATTTCTTATGAGTACATCTCTAGTCGAGAATTGCACTCTCATTTTTGGTGCACGAAACAAAAAGCGAAAGATATGGTAATTAAGTTATAAATATTTATTAAGTAACTAATAACGATAATTAACAAGTGATCGTTTTAATTTCTTTTTTTTTTTTTTTTTTTTAGTTACAAATTCAGAATTATTTTAAAGAGCAAGAGTAAAAAATTGAATCTCAACTAATTACGAGATTGTAAAAAGATTATAACGATTATCGTGCGGTCTTGAGAATAATTATTGGCCAAAATTACTTATTTTAGATATTTCTATGAGTTTTGTACCAAAGCGGTACAAACTATTTTTAAAATCAGTGTTATCTTTTTAAAGGAGCAATCATTATAATTCGGTTCGGAATTATCAGAGCTGGGCCAACATTACAGCACAATTTGATCGATGATCATCGGATAATCACGGGATATACTATAAAATTTTCTAGCGAATGTTTCTCAATATCCTACTTGATCAAATTCGGTAAAAATTTTTTTATTTTAATTCTATAGTTTAGTAGGATTAAAATAAAAAAATGACATTAAATTATGTTTAGTAGTTATCGAAAAACCAGTTTTTTTTAAAAAAAACATAAAATTAGGAAATTTTTTTTTTTGAACTTTAAACGATTTCTTGACAAGCCATCTGAATTTAATATTTTAATTCTATGAATTCATAGAATTAAAATAATAAATTTGGATCAAATTTGGATAGCTAATTATCGAAAAATATTCATTAAACAATTTTATTTTTTGATTTATAGAGTTTATTCTTTTTGATTTATAGAAAAAGGCCTATTGTTTTGTTAGAAGAGTTAAATTATATGAGATTAGTGAAAAAAAATTCAGAAGCAAAACTATGTGCGCATAGAGTTTGGAACCGGATTTGACCTTTGGATTTAAATCCGATTTCCTTCGGACTCGATTTAAATTCGGATAAAACTGAATCTATCGAATCTGCAATACTTACATTGTCTGTACAAACGCATAGTATTCGACCACCTATAGAATTTCTACAACCATAAAATAGTTTTTGTTCTTAAGTGATCGAATATTTCACTGAGTGTATATACGTACGTACGTACATACAATGATGCTATAATGATGCTACTATCAACATAGGCACAACCGGATATTATCGAATAAATTCGAATTAAAATCCAATGCATATTTTTATTAAATAAATAAATTCTGAATCGAAAAACGAAATCCGGTTCCAAACTCTAGGTGCACATTGCGTACTGTTTTTAAATTTAATATTTACATGCCGCACATGTAATAAAATATAATGTGTGTCTTTATAAATCATAAAAATATGGTATATAGTATTGCATGTAGTATTTCTGAAAAATCGGATTTCCTTAATTAGCTTGGTTATATGCATTGGGTTCAGAGGGTATTTGGTTACATGGTTCAATCACGATTATTGGTCAAACCACAAAATTAATTAAGGTTATAATAAGTATGTAATAATTGTCAGAGATGATGTAAGAATGGATGATGCTGAGAATTTGGGGTTTCAATTTAAGAATCTAAACTCTACTAAGTCCACATATGGGAATCTCCACAACAAAAGGTGGCAATGGGCCTAAAAAAAATTTTTCTTAAAAATACAATTTCTTGAAGAATTAGAGTAATAGGCATATAATTTTTCCAAAATTACAGAATAAAAATTTTTGGCCCATTGCCATCTTTTGCTATAGAGGTTTCCATATACTCTTTTATTATAAACTCTAATCCTGAATCTAACCTAACTCTAAAAAAAAAAGCCAAAAAAAAAAAATAGCTTAAAAAATTTTTTAAATTTTATATTAAAGAATATAAATTAAATTTTCAACACAATCTCTGACAATAATTATGAATAATTATGATGTAATTAATATAAATGATTTAGGTGTCAAATATAGTATTATGAAAAAAATATAAAATTAAATTATATATATACATTTCATTTTCATATTAAAAAATATAGTATTATGAAAAAAAAATATAAAAAATGAATTATATACAGTATATACATTTTATTTTCATATTAAAAAAATGTCAAAAGCTTTTACCTTCATATTAGAATTGATTGTTTTCTACTATTCTTATGTCAGTAGTTATATTTATAGTTAGAGAAGCTACAACAAGTATAAATATTGATATAATTGAGATTGCTTAAATATCACTTACTGATTTGCTAATAATTGTAGTGGTACTTAGTTGTTACAGTAGATCAAAAAATAATAGCCTTAATTAATACTTTACTATTTTATCAATTTTATTAAATTAAAAATTTTGCAAATTAAAAAATAACATTTAATTCACTGCCTCTATTGCTTATTATTATTACTATATTTTTACAATTATTATATAGTATTTTTTTCTTTAGGATTTCTGTTTATTTTATTATGGGAACAGACTTTCATTTTTATATTGACATATGAAGAAATCTAATCTATAATGTTTTGACCAAAAAATAAACTCACTCATGGTATACTCTGCAGATGCTGTAACATCTACTTGCAGTTAGAGTGAACTATTAAACCATTGTGTTTTGCCCAGATATAACCTGCCTAGTGAATGATTGGCCTCCTCCAGAGATCTGAAACTTACTTCAGACTTATTTTTTCTGAATTCCTTGGCTAACTGTTGCGTCACTTCAAGATTCCTATTCTACAATAGAATGCTGCCAAACTGATGATATTTTTTTATAGAGAAGGAAAAAAGAAAAAAAAGAAAATAATAGAGAATAAAAAAAAGTATATATAATAAAAACTGATATATCAATAAAAATATATACTAATACTAAGAAGTATAAATCTAAACTAAAACCTAAAAGAAACTATTGCTAAAGAGAAGAAAACCTGCTAATTAGGTAAAAACTTCTAATTATATAGAGTAATAATCTATTATTAAGTGCAAGAGTCTTGATAAGAAATTTAAAACTAAAATAAAATGCACTATAACTTGTGCAAAAGACTAAAAATTATATACAGATGACTAGAAAATGCCTGTATATCTCTTTTCACTTTGCTTTACTCTTTCAGTTAAATCTATATCTTTATCCAAAAGTATAAGAATTTTGGAGTCTCCATGTGATCTATCTATTGACAGTATTACATGTTTGTATGTCCTCAACAACATGATATATAAAGTATTCTTCCAAACACTCATCCAGTTACTAAATTTGCTGGCATTGTCCATTTTATATGTGTTGTTTGTCATCATGTAGAGTTTCCTGATATAGAAGTAGTAAATATTACCAATCTTTTAGAGGAGGTTTGCTGAATTCTTCACTTTTTGTCAAAAATTATAGGCAAAAGTATTGAAGAAAAAAAATACTATATTTGCGAGAGCTTACAACAATAAAAGTGTTTCAGTTGTTCTTTATAAAACTTAAAGGCTTTAAATACTTGAGTTTGGAGTTTTTTACCACTACTATTACCAAAATAACTCTTTTGGCTTGGATGCCGAACGTGCAAAAAAGTCTACCAAAAAGAAAAGCTTGACTCAAAGCATAAACAAATTATATACGTCTGCTTCTTAGTATTTTACATATAAGTCTTTATCGACAACAGTACTAATAAAAAACTTCAGGTATCTTTGAACTTTTTAGATTCTTGAATCTTCAAACTGTTTTGATGTGGTCTTAGTTCAAATGATTATCAGAAAAAGTTCTGAAAGTATGATTATTATATAGTATTGTTATAGATTAGTTTTATTATATTATTAGTTAGATGTTCTATAAAATAGGTAGGCAAACTCTCAAACTCTGCAATTTTGCTATTAAAAAATTAATAATTACTAATCATTAGCAAAGCTTATTTCTTATAATGTCTATTTTTAAAATATTTTATTAGTTTTTTTTTTTTACCTTAGCAACCCTACCTTTACTTTTTAATAAATGATTTGCCTGTCATCCAGAGAGCTATGTAATACAGATTATATAAGATTTATATACTGTATAAATTATATATAAATTCTTTTATTTGTAAATGTGAAGAGATTATATTTAAAACTTTTTTCTTACTAAGTAAATCACTCTTAAGCTTTTAACAAAAGTTGTAGAGCTTATCAAAACACATTTAATAGCAGTAAAAACATTAAAATTAGCTTAGTAATTCTTAAAAAATCTTCAAAAAATGTTTTTGTTAATACTGTATATACTATAATTTTTTTTTAAAAAAAATTGATTTTTTTTAAAGAAAACAAACTATTTTTTGAAGATTTCTCAAGAACTACCAGGTTGATTTTAATGTTTTTACTATTATTAAATGTGTTTTGATGAGCTTTACAACTTTTATTATAAGCTCAAGATGATTTACTTAGTAAGAAAAACTTTTAGATATAATTTCTTTACATTTGGCTTAATATAGTAGTAAAATTTATTTATAAAATTTGCAGATTCTCTCCAAATAATAGATGAAT